AGAAAGAAAGAAAGAAATACATTCTCACATGATGCTACTAATAAAGGAAGTGGAAATTTTATTACTCCAATTGGCTTCGTCAAACGCCCTTCAGGTGGCGCTGTTTAATCCTATAAAAAGACAAAGATTTCCTTCGTTCAGGTTGTAGTAGTAAGTGGGAAAAAAGACGTCACCGCTGCAACACATTCGTTTCCTGGGTCCACTGAACTCTTTTTCCACTTTCCAACGCATGGCGTTCGCATGTGTCTTCCAAAACATCCACCGCTGAAGTAAATCAATCTTTTCTTTGGTCGTTCCAACTCTGCGCAAGACTGACTTGAGCTCGACCATTATAACAATTCTTATCGTTACTTACCCTAACTTCTGGAACTAAAATAAGTAAATGGGCGACATACCAAAGAGTCATTGAGAATTTTGTTTCATCACAGTTAATATATATATATAAATGACCGTAGTAGAAACACAAGATTTTGGTATGCTTCTTCTTTAATTGTCTACATGTGAACACATTTGCACCTGCAATAGCTTAACACCCAACCTTTAAATTCAACAATTTCTAAAAATTGGCGCGCAATAATATGAAAGTACATTCTTTGCAGATACACTGACGAAATAACTTTTATATTTTAAGAAGTTCATTGAGCCAACAACTTTTCAAGGCCTTGTTGTTCATATGAGTGCGGTTAGCATGTTAATAAAGCAAACAATTATTACGGAATTTGAGCTTTAGTAGGCACTCTATTATCATGATCCTTTGCCAAACTAAGCTCAACTTCGTAAATATATCCATGATACAAAGGAAACCTGTTGTAAAGCGACTGTTAGCAAGAAGGTTTGCAAATTCTCTAAAATAAAAACACGGGACGGTGAGGCCGGAGTCTCCTAACCAGGAGTTCACAAACCCATAAAACTGAATTAAATCTGCTTGATACTTTTTTGAGCGATAGGAATTTATATGTAACAAATTATCATTCAAGAATGTTATACAGTCAGTGCAAAATGTTTTATACGGTCAGTTCACAATAATAGTTCAATTTCGGGTAAAAGAATTGTATTCGGGTACATCTTTTTCAAAAGCAAAATTTTTACGCGTAATTTTTAAAAAGAATCATCGATTCCCAAAATGGGGATAAAAACGTGTTCCTTAAGTAAGTTAATAATAGTATGGGACAATCTAGCATTTTTCGGGATGGTTGGCAATCTTGAGTAAGTTCGTCTCACAGACATTTGGTAGAGAAGGGAGTTCGATTTTCACTGAGTGTCCTATTATTGTGTCGCTATGACAGACTTTATGTTGAACTAAATTAAAAGGTGGGAACGATTACAAAATATGGGATTAGGTTTTAGTCTTTTAAAAAATTAAAAAGTTATTCGTTTATTTTATTTCTCTCTGAATGTCATTTTTGTAAAAAAAACCTTTCAACTGTTAGTTAAAATATAAAATAAAAAGCGGAATGTTGTTAGACGCACGTCGTCTCGTCATTCATAGTGACGTATAGGTCGCTTATAATGGGTTAGATGCGCTTGGGTTTCAGCATTTCGTTGTCAACCATAATCAGAATTTTCTTTTGACCCAATTACGAGGGTCTGTACTAATCATGTAGAAGCATATTGGGCAAGAATCAAAAAACACCTCAAGAGAATTGATGGTTCAAAAAGTGTGATATGAAATAATCACACCTGGATGAGGCAATTTATAGAATTTTTTTTTATGTTCAAGGCTACCAATATTTGGGAGAATATAGACACTTTTTAAACATATATCATTACATTATTACTTGGTTTTAATACTGTCACATGAATGCACTCGAATTAAAATTTTAGAGGTGTGCGTCTAACAACATTCCGCCAAATAAAACATATTTTTAAAAGTAAACTCAGAGATGTGACTAAAAAAAAATCGATCTCCTTGGTCGCCGGTGTTACTATTTTTAACAACTAGTCGTCGTATGTAGGACTGACTTTTTTGAGAGTTGTGTCAAGCAATAAACAGGGAGGAGTAGGATCGAGTTTTTGCAAATGCTAAAAAAAAAAAAAAAAAAACGAAAAAAGGTTGACTCGCGAATTCTGGGGGTATCGTTGTCAACTCATCCCGACCGATCATAATATCCACTTGAGAAAAAAAAATCATTAGAAAATGCACTTTGCGAAGAAAAACCTATTAAAACAGACGTTATTTATTTAAATTATCGATATTTTTAACGAGTAGACTTTTTAGTTTTAAAATTAATAAAGAAAGTAAAGATGATTACTAAATAAAAAATAAATTTAAAAATGAAACCTTGCAAATAGTTAGTTAGTTACAGTACAAAAGTACAGTGTCTGTGTAGTGTAAAAATAAAAATAAAAATAAAAAAGCAAAAAATATTTTTGAAGCAAATTAGTCGATACCTGACAGATCTGCTTTTTTTATGTTTCGAGCCGATTTTGACAGAGTCGTTTTTTTTTTTTACATTTTCAGTAGCTACGTTCAGCTAGACAGTCATCTGACTCCCCTCCTTGAAACATGAGCTGTCATTAGTAGGAACATACAGAAAGCTGTATATTAATTTTGCATAGGAAGAATCCGGCTTTAACTTTCTTTTTCTGTTTTGTTATATTTCCTTTACCTCCGTCTTGACACTATTTATTTCTTTACCCATAAACCGTTCAAGGAAGAAAGGAAAGAGAAACAGAAGCCTCTCTATTCTTGTCTATTGTTTATAAAGCGTGCATTTTATTATTATTTTTTGCCGGGTCTCATTTTGCGAGTAGTTAAAAAATTGTTCGACACAACAAAGTGCTAAACAACGCATGTCACAAATTATGGTAACAGTTCTTTATTTGTTAAGCTTAATTTAGTCTGGCACAAGGCTATATTAGTGAGAATTCTGGACCAGACTCGTTACTTTAGCTTTTTAGCAATAATCGCCTGCTACTTTTTAGCTTTTGAATGCACTGTTGCTGTTGCACAAGGAAGGTGCCTTCGTAACTTAAATTAAAAAAACTAAAAGTCACAGCAACTGAGCACCTAGTACGGATCTATCTCACTATTCGTTAATTAATTGATGTATGATTGTATGAACCATCGCGGTTAATTAGAGACGTTCCATTGAGTCTGGTACAAGGATAAATTAGAGAGTGCACGTAGTAAGGATCAAACTCTCTTCTTCGCTAACTTAAAAGAACACGTAGTCGGCGAGGCAAATTTTTTAAACGTTGGTTTAGCTAAAAGCACCTGACAGGTTTTTTTCATCATTAAAGTTTAAAAAAAGCATAAGTAAAAAAAAAAAAATTATATCAACTAGGAATACAACTCAACTCAAGAGTCAACACAAATATCGTTTTGTTTGTTTTTTTTTTTAAAACAAGTAAAATGAGTACAGTATGTGTTTCTTGCCTGTCCTTTGATTTCCAAATTTATTATCTAAAAAAAAATATTTGTTTTTAATTTTCTCTAAAAATTAAGAAGGAATAAGAAGACGTTTTATTTTACTACATGCAAAAAAAAAAAAAAAAAAAATGATGTTATTGTTAGGACACAGGTGGAAAAGATCTCCCAACTCAAAATACTTCTTAGTAGTTTTGTATTTATTTTTATTTTTTTTTATTTTATCACCAGCCATTGTCTTATCGGGATTTAATCATTTGTCTAATTTTTTGTAAGTAAAACTGAAGAAAATTATAATAAAAATATTTCCATTCTTACTTAATTTTTTAATTTTCATTTTGAAGGTTTCGAAATAAATTGTGTTGGTGCATCAACAAAGTACTTCTTAATAATACGCACATTTGCTGAGAGATTAACTTGGTTGTGTTCTCATCTGCTCGACTAAATAATAATAGTGATGCTGAACATTGTTAATGTTGTCTTAGCTTATAAATGAAATGTAAATCTTAATAGATTAGAGTATTTCTATTTGACATGTAAAAAAATTGCTTTTTAAATTGAAACCATTTAAATTTTAAAACAAGATGCTTTTTTTAATTTTAAAATCCGTGGAAAAGTCTACACAAAAATCATTCTCCAAAAACAGCAGTACGCAGTATCCTCGATTATTATTGTAACATTTGTAATCATTTGTATTATTATTTCTTATGTGATGAGCTTGTTAATGTTACTACACGACAAATATATCTTAAGAAGAAAAGAAAATAATTCTGGTTTGATAAAAAAATAGGCTCTATAAAACACCAGAATTGTTTTATAGCCAAGTTAGTTTTTTGGGGCATTAAATTAAAATAAAATTTTTAAAAATTGTCGAACGTAACGGTAATGAAACTAAATAATTTATTTATTAATTTACAATTTAATTATATTTTTAAAATTACTTTTGATAGTATTTACTTATATTATTTCCTAGCGATAACTGTTTAGTGTTAGTGTCTTTTAGTTTTTTTGTTTAACATTTACGACAGGGTACGGAAAAGTTCTCGGCCCAACAAATAAATAAAAAAATAATAATAAATCTGATTTTTGGCGATATGGTCAGATTTTGGGAACTGGGTTTGGCTAGGTTAAATGACTTGACCTTCCCTCGCTCAAAATAGTTTTAAAATAGTTCTCTATTTAAACAAAAAAAAACGAATAATTGCAAGGGACTTGTATATATTGTATTCCTTTCGTGAGCTTGCATTCTGCGTACTATTACTCATGAACTGAACCAGGTTATTTTCTTTTTTTTTGTTTTTTGTAATTTTAAATATTAAAAATGTTTTTCGAAATATGTTTGTTTTTAGGTGCATTTTTTTAAAATAATATTTAATTTTTCCAAAGTTTAATAATAATACTTTTTAATTTAAATTTCAAATCAGCGTTTAAATTTAATTTACTAGATTAAAAAACTTATTTACATTTGAAAAAAAAAGTGATTTTTTTTAGATATTTAATAATAATTAATAAAAACAAATGCATATTAAAAAGGAAGGTGCTTGTCAGAAATCTAGTTCCCTTGTTTGCCGCGAAATTAGGTCATTCTTGGTTAACAACAAGGAATCATGGGAAAGCACCATATTTGAAAATGTCCAGCGAAGAGGATATATACGAGGTAGGTTTGTTCGTCCTTTTTTTTAAATTTCTTTGCGTTAATACCGGTTTTAAAATGGTGTAAAATATGCATTAGGATAGGCAAGCACTTGCAATATATGCAGGTATTTTCAACCGGATTATGCCGCTTTTGCTAAAGCAAGAAAATTAAGTTTACATCGGTCGAGTTTTGAATGTCAACACTTGATTAAAACTAAAGCCATGCCGGAGTTGTATTCTGCTAGGAGGCCATGTGCCTAAAGAGAACTGATTGTGTGGTCAAAAAATCGGGGATCATTTGGCTTTATTTTTACTTGTTTATTGATCCCCAACTTTCCGACCAATTTATATATTTTTAAAAGTTAAAAAAATATACCTGATCTAAGGCAGGAAATATTGTTTTGTTTTTTTTTTTTTTTTTTAAAAAAAAAAAAAAGAAAGAAAATCTTATTTTACTTCTTTCTAACGGAAACAAAGTCTTTTATTCTGATTTGGTTGAGGGATTTTTTTTTTAAATTTTAACTTAAGAATAAGATTAAGAAAATTCCATTTTTTATTTATTTTAAATTTTATTTAAATGGCTCTGCCGGTTAAATCGGGTATACATTTTTTTTTCCTTATTTCTAATTTACATATTTTTGTTTTGTACTCTACCTAAAATTAAAGTCTCTTATTAAACATAAATGCTTAATTACCGCTAAAAAAAAAAGTAAGTATCGAACGAAAGACAAGACAAGACGAGACAAGATCAACTGAAGAAATTTCCACAATTAGGACGAAAGACCAAAATTAAATAAATTGTTACGTACGATATCTTGTCCCCTGCAAAAAAAAAAAAAAATCTGCTCCAAAAATATTTACAATTCAGTTTTTACTTTATTTTAATACAATATCGTGTAATTAGGATTTATTTATGTCTGATATTTTTAAATACTTAAAGACACTGTTTTCTTTTACGGCATCACGCACGTGTTTAGGAAAATTAGAATATTTAAAAGTTTTTATTTTATCAAATCAATCTTTATTCTATACTTTTTAAAACTGAATGATAAATAATAAATTATAAATATACTTTTTGAAACCTACCCATCACTAAAAAAAAACGTTGAGTATTAAATTTCGAACTTTAATTCTTTATTCTTTATTTATTTTATTTTTAATAAAAAATTTGAAGCACTTAATTTGCTCCAATCCTTTCGAAATTACTTTTTTGGTAAATTTGCAGATAATGCCCCAGTGACCAATTTTTAAAAAATACTAGCTTGATTATTACAAAAATAGCAATAAAAAAAATAAAACTCTACCGTTTAGAAGATATTGCCAGTCTTAGGTCCCTGGTACAGCCTGGGCTCCACTGTTTACCTGAAGCAATATGTTGCTCGATTTGTGTTTCTGAGGTCAATCCCTTTACCATATCGAGCGCCTTCACAGATTCCTGATTGAGGCGGCCAGTTTGTACCCGGGAATCAAGATTGACAAATCTCTCCTAAAACGGTAGAGAGTTTCCTTGTTTTTTATTGCTATTTTTTTTTTGTAATAATCTGGCTATTTTTTTTTTTTTTACATCAGAAATAAATGCACTTTTATTTTTAAAAATTGGTTACTGTAAGTGTGTGGTATTATCTGCAAATTTACCACTTTTCTTCCGCGCGAAAATTACAAACTGTCTTTTTAGTTTTAAAGGATGCTAAGTAAATACTTAATCCCGGTAGTAAAAATACTTTAAGTTTTATTTTTAACATAAATTTCTTTTGAAAAGAAAAACACTGGGCTGGGGATGTATTTTGCATTTGCTTGTTGACTGGGTAAAAAAATGAAAGTCGTACAGAGATCAATCAATGCGACAAAAAAACAAGTTCAAACATTACATTTTGAATTATCATTTTTTTTATTATGTACCATATCGTAGGCGATTATAGCTCTACAGATTTTTATTTATTTTCTGCAAATTGCCATGACTTCTTGAGGAAAGATACTGGAGTAGTTACCGCCTTCATGACTTTGAATTCAGTGTTTTCTTCTCTTAGACTGGTTGCACCCAAAGAGTCCATGTTCATCTTGCTATCGTCTATTTTTTTTAAAAAAACCCATATAGATGTAAGAAGAAATTGGTTCACACCCTTCCCAGGGGCGCTAGTACGAATGTGAGGGCAACAAACTAGCCTGAAATTTGAACTTTGCTCGCTGCTTCCACTTTCGCGCCGATAACCGTTATGGTAAAATATTTTTTTACAACCCAAAATTGGTGTTTTCCCTCTTTACGTTCTCATATTCAATTTCACTTTTAAAAAAAGCAGACTAATTTTTATGGGTTAATTTATTATATTGTGAGTGACACTTTAACGGAAACGTTTTTATTCCCAACATTGCACTTTTTAAAAATTACAAATCACACTCTAACCATTTGGTGAAGTAATGGCAAGCAGATTCATGAATCTGAGAGCTGAGTTCAAATTCCAGTAGAGTTCATTACATTCACTTACATGCTAAATACCCTTGTGAAAGGCATGAATCCACCTCTTTAACACCCTTCACCCACCTATGAGTAAATAGCAGGGTAGACTGGGTTCTATATCCTTGTGTAGGAGAAGGATAACTCTGAGTCCAAAATCTGCAGACCTAGTGTATAAACAGAAGGTAACCTATGATTTCATGGTCTTTGACTGTCAATCTAGAGCTTGGAGAGGAGATGGGTGCTGCCAAGTTATCTGAAAGACCACTGAAAAAATCAATGTCTGTTATCTTTTTGTCTTAGAGTCCACACAATGATTGAAGCAGTCAATTTTTTTTTTTTTTCCTCTCCAAAAGAAGAAATTGTAATTGTGAGTTCAATCCCTTGGCTGGGTAGTATATGTCCCAACTCTCGAAACGAGGACAGCAACCAAGCAGAAATTTAAAAAAGAAAAAAAAAAAATGAGAAAGCTATCCCTAGACATTAACAGTGAATGAGAACAATCTACTCTATAGATTTAATAAAATGTTAATTTTGAAATTCCTTGAAAGCTACCCTAGTTGACAAACCTGGAAGACACAACAGCTGACATATTGTGATATTAACAACAAAGATGGAGACTTTAGTTTGAATGTAAATGTCACTTTATCTTAGAAACTCTGAATGAGAAATTGGACAGCCGAGTTTGAATTCAGTTGGATCCATTACATTCAATTATGTGCAAATATCCTTGAAGATGGTATGAAACTATCATCTCCAGTTATGGGTTAAATAGCCAGACTTGTATCTTGAAAAATCATTGTTCTACAAAAAAAACTGTTTCCTCTTATAGTACAGTATAATAATTTTTGTGTCTTTCACGAAATATTTAAAAAAATGGACCAGTTAACACTTTTCGTTTTAATTCATACATTGAAGAATTCCTTTTATTTATTCCATAACACTGGTTTTTAAAAAAATTGTAAAGTGGTTATTGGGGTCCATGATTAGTACAGAGATGCTATTGGGAAAACGTCTTATTCAATCTTTCCTATGTGCAATTGTATATTTGTTACCTATACAAGAAAAAAAAATTGGCAAATCATGGTTTGTTTGTTTTATGCTATCAATCTTAGAAAAGGCATGAATTTTTGTCACTAGCATGCTACAACAAATAACAGTGTAAGAGCTTGGACAAACAAACTATTTTTCTGCAAGGATAGAACAAGACCAGCTAAAGAAGAAAAATGGCTGTTGATTCCATTATCATTGTTGGCAGGAGTAAACATAATCACAATCATGAGACCCTATAACCTGTTACGGTTATAGGGACACCATGTATACTGCAGCCGCAGTACATGTGTTGTTTCCTGAGATGATAGTCTAATGTAGCACAACCCTCTCCAAACTGGTTTTAAGTTCAGTTTTTCCTTCTTTTAGACTGGTTGACACTCAAGGATCCAGTCTGTGTGCTATATATTGCTGGTAGGGCAGGGAGAAGAGTTAATATTAATAATATACATACTTAAGCATAAGTTATATCATATTTTAAGAAGGTCAGTAATTTGACTGTCAAATTAGTATCAAGCAAACAATATTGGTTAAGATACTTATATTTTTATACAAGCAATATAAAATCTGAGATTCAACTTGTAATATCATTAAAATTATTGATAACTTGTTTATTATGGAAGCAAATTTGGTGCAATATTCATTTATAGATAAATCCAAAAGATATAATACAAAGAAGCATATTTGATAACAATGTATCCCATATATCTGAATAAATTATTAGTCAATGTGTTAATCTGAGCTCTTTTTACATTCTATAACTTTCAAGTTTTTCAGTCATTGATTTTAACTTTTCTACTTTAATAGCATTACTTGCAATGATTTCTACTGGTTTCTCAGGATTTTCTTTGGCCTTCCTTCTCATATACATCTCTCAGTGAACTTGGACCTTCATGCCAACAAAAAAAAAAAAATAGTGTCAAATGGACAGTTTCCCCTCGATGCCACTATTATTTTATCTACCTTCACTCTTTGCTTTATTGTTTTTAAAAAGCAAATTTACATTAAAAATATTAAACACTATTTATTAGATTGTTTAGTTACAAGAATAAATTTCTATTTACAATATTCTAAAAATTAATACCATTGTATTAAAACTAATGTAATGCTATATGTATCATTTACTAATTTATAAAGAAATTAATATGAAAATAATTGTTATTCATAAATTTATTAACATTTACTAAATTATTAAAATATGTGAACTAACTATAAAGAAATCTTTATTTACTATTTTATAAAGTTTGAATCAATTGACAATTAGCAAATGTTTTGCCAGCCATTCCAATAATCAATATAATAGTGTTTATTATTTTTGCCAAGTCTGAAAAACAAAGAAAATATAAAAATTCACTGTCATATATTTAGTTTTTATTACAATTCTAATCATCACTTTTTAAAAACATTGCAAAGGAGTGAAAATAATTAAAATAATTGGTGTCAAGGGAAAAAAAGCATCCTTTTGACACTTTTTTTTAAGCTACAAAGGTCCAAGTTTGCTCATCTCTATATGGGATTGA